AGGCCGCACAAAATTTAATATCTTGGTTTTCATAACATGAAACTTTTAAATATCATTAGTCTTGCTTCGATATTTTGATTTTCGGTATAACTTTTGATAAGACTTTCGATTTTCAGTAAAACTTTTGGCCTTCGGTATGCTTTTGACTTTTGGCTTTGTACGATGAATTTCCAAAGCACTTCAATAGTCTTTTAAGATCCCAACGAATGTAGTGTAGGTAATGTGTAAAGATATAATAAGTCCAGATTTTCTTTTTTTTTGCTTTAGTTTTGTTTTAAATCTAAAGGAAAAAAAGTCTTGCGATTGAAACTATGCGAATATATGCACAATGAATATCATATTACACAAACGCGTAAACATAAATAATTTTTTTTACACGGCAAATTCTGAAATGATATATTTACTATATGCAAATGCATAAAAATCGTAATTTCAATCATCAATATGTATACATATGATTGTTGCTAAAAGAAAACTCGAAAATTTAAATATAACTTATATTTAAATTTTCGGGTTTCTTTTAGCAACACATATGACGTTGCATGAAATAAAAAAGCATGTACGTTGAGAAAGTTAGAATTTGTGGGCTGCGTCGGAAAAGTTACGGGGTCGTTATATAATAACTCACTACTCAAAAATACACTATTAACTAAAATACTCTAACCAGAACACTAAAACTATAACCAAACCCTAATATTGGTAAGGCAACGATTGAGGCGTGGAAAGACTTGGTCCGAGTAACCAGGGTTAATTGGGTTGGTAGTGATAGTGTCGGATTAGAGCTCTGAATTAAGTCACGAATCTCTTTATACAGAGTCACGGGATTTGGACACTAATTCCTTTCGTTATTACGGATTTTACTTACCGAGGGTTAGCAGAGCCAAATACTTTTCAATGTTGAACTCCAAGTTGTTTCAAGTCTTTCAAACTTCCAAAAGTTTCACACGATAAAAGTGAATCACAAGTTAAATACTCAAATTTCTTTAACTTAGAACTTCGAACTCCCCGGAGTTAGTTTTTATTCGATACGAAAGCATTGCTTTTATACTTTTTATATTACTACGGTACAAATTGAACTTATTCACTAAAGATAATAAAGCCAATAAAACTACTAAGGCTACTAAGGGCACTAAGGCTGCTAAAAATACAAAGACTACTAAGGGTACTAAAGGCGATAAATTCACTAAGGGCGATAAGTACGATAAGTTCAATACTTTACTGAAACTTGTAAATTTGCAACTTTAATGCTACTTGTAATTAGCTATAAAGTAACTATATATATTTTATGTTTACTATAAATTAGCAATACACCTACTACTATTTTACTATACTTTTACTATAATTTTATTATTTTACTATATTTTTACTACAATTTTATTAAAACAACTTTTGTAAAATTGCAGTAAAAGTATAGTAAAATAGTAGTAAAATAGTAGTAATATAGTAGTTAGTAGTAGGTGTATTGCTAACTTATAGTTTTATCAATGCTATTAGAGATTGAAACTGAGCTATGGTTTTACTTTTCTTTGTAAATTTATTTATTTATTATTTTAATGTTAAGGTGAGGCTATGTTCTATTTTTATTGAAATTTAATTGAACTATTTACAAGAAACAAATTACAAGAAGAGAATTATATATAAATCTCATATCCAAAAATAATAAGAGTAGGAGCTCAGACATAATATCTGCAGCCTAAATCTATTCTTTGTAAATTTATTAAGTTTATGCGATCCAAATATTGTCAAGAAAATAATTGAATATGCTTTAGTGAGTTTATAATTAAAATATGGTAATATAGTTGTAATCTTAACAACTAATATAGAGAGTAGACAAACCTTTTATATTAAAAATCTGACTTGTCTTTGAATAACATAATTAAACCTTTTTATGCCACCAGTTTGATACATTTGGAAAGTTTTGTAATATATTTATATGTCGTGAATGAGGTTACTATCTGACTAGAATTGCTACATATGAACTTTCATTCAACTGAAGTTATACCTATAAATTCTGTTGAATGTAATAACCATAATCTTTTTAAACATCCAAATGTCATAATTAAGTACTAAATGACTTAAGCATTTCTTTAATGATTTCGCACAACTTTCAGAAAGTAAATATGATTATAATATCGAAGTTGAAAAATAAAGTTTAAATTATATTCTTTAATTCTATATTATCATTCATAATTCTTTATTAAGAAGGGTTTGGGTTCCATAGCTTATTGGTTAAGCTCCCAAACTCCACAGACAAGGTCAATGGTTTGAGTCGGGCTAGAGGTAAATTTAATTTGTTTCTGTAATCTACAGGGGCCATAATCAGATGCGAAGCCTTGTAGAAAGTCCAAGTGCAGTACAAAACCAGAATAAGAAGTTCCTAAAAGGAGATTTAAAGGGTAATCTTTATCCTTGCATTGGAGTAGGGTCAAAAGGTGAAATCTCTATAAAGGCAAACTTTGGACATAAAAAGTTCAAATATGCAGGTAAATGAGTTTTGTCTAATATTGAATTTGTATGTCTAAGTTTTTTTCAAGTTTATTTTAATATTATTATTACCTTAATGAATAGCAATAGCTGATGATGATATTGATAATTGATTGAAAGAAAAATGAACTAAAGTTCTTGAACAGTGTGATAATAAAGATAAAGACATGATTGAAAATTTTATTATAGGAAAATATGAAGAAGGCTTGCAGATTTAAATAGATTGCTTGAAATTGATCAAAATAATGCATTCGCATTAAGATATCGTAAAGAAATTTATCTTATATTGAACAAATTTGAGGAATCAAGTGCGGACTTAAAAAAATTACTAAAAATAAATGAAGATGATAAATGGGCATTAAAAGCCAGTGACGAAGTTAATAGGCAAAAAAAAACCTTTTTAGTAGCAAATATATGATGAGACTTTTTAATAGAAGCACAAACAAACCTTATATTTATAGAGGCGTTCTTTATAGCAGAATTACGCTTATTAGAAAAAGAAGAAGAGAATTTAGAAGAAGACAAATGGATTTCAAAAAAAGAATTAGAAGAAACCATTAATAAAAATATTATAAAATTAGAAGGTGCAAAAAAAGCAAAGACTGTAAATACGTTAGATATATTACGAGTATTAAAAGGTTTAGCAGAGGGAAAGAAGAGTGGATTATTCTTCAGGACAAAATTAGAAGGAAAGAAATTTCGCAAAAATAACCTGGGAAAATTAGCCGTAGCAAGGATGCATATGGATGAAGAAAAGAATACACACTTAGAATTATCAAAAAGAGAAAAAAATTTTAAATTGGGATTAACGAACATTGATATAATGGCAGAAATAACATTTTTAATCGCAAACTTCATAGAAGAATTACGAGCATCAGAAAATGCAAAAAAAAAAAAAGATATTGCAGAAGAATTTGTTACAAAACAAGAATTAGCAACATTGGTAAAAGAAGCAGAAAAAGAAGCAAAAAAAGTAGAAAACAAATCATTACCCACAGGTGCTATACTTGAAGCGTTAGAAAATTTAAAAAATGATTCATTGGTAGGATTTATAGAAAAAGGAAAAAAAAATATAAAAATGAGCATTATGGAAAATTATACTATCTTATAGAAAAATAGAATGAAAATAGGGATATGGAAAATATGGGACATGCAAAAATTATAAACAGCATAACACATTTTATGCCTGATATCAGAAGTGTGATTCCATTATAACCGTTAATAATAGATAGTCAAGTGGAAATGAAGATATTGATAATTGCATTAAAGAATTTCAGTACAAAGCTATAATGTATGATAAGGTGATTGAATGGATTCCATTAGATAAACTAAATAATCAAAAAATCGGTGAAGGGGGTTATGGAAAAGTGTTTTCAGCAACATGGGTAGATGGTATACGAGTAACTGAATTCAAAAGCATTGGGGATCATGGCTATAAAATGTCATGTAAAGGATCAACAATTGCGCTCAAAACCTTGCCTAATCCTCAAAATCTTTCTGAATGTTTAAAAGAAGTAAGTTAAATTTGTTGTTTATCATCAATTAATTAACGTATATATTAATATAAGTTTATATAATAAGTTCAAACATCATATGAGATGTAGATTAATAGATAGCGAATTAGGAATACATGGATTAACTAAATGTACAGAAAATAATTTGCTACCTGAACTTAATGTTGAACTTAATGCTGGTGATTATCTGATGGTGCTTCAATTTGCTGATAAAGGATGTCTTTATAAGTTTTTAAAAGAGAAATTTAGAGAACTTACATGGAAAGATAATTTATTTCAACTTATTTGTATAACAAATGATTTAGCAAAAATTTACAAAGCAGGATATATGCATGGCGATTTTCATAGTGGAAATATTTTGCAAAATAAAATTGGTAAAACTATATTTTCTTATATTGCAGATCTTGGATTATCTAAAAAAATTGAAGCTGACGAAGCCAAAGAAAATAATAATTATGGAGTTTTGCCTTATATTATACCTGAAGTTTTTGTTGGCAAAAAATATACACAAGCAGCTGATATCTATGGGCTAGGTATTATTATGGCAGAAATGTCATCTGGGCAAAGACCTTTTGATGATTATGATTATAATGATGATCTTAAAATAAAGATTATTAATGGCTTGCGACCAGACTTTGCACCTGGAACTCCAGATTGCTATGTCAAATTAGCTAAAAAATGTCTGGATCAAGATCCACAGAAATGACCCACTGCTAACAATATTGGCTTTAAGCTTTATCATCTATGGAAATATACTTATTATGATAATTATTCTGATAAACTTGGTATAAAAGAGAAATTCCTCGCTGCTGACAAATTTATTGAAACATTACCAGACATTACATGAAAGTATCTGGATTCTAAATATACTAGCAAAATTATTACTACCAAAATTATTACTACAGAAAGAATAAAGACTCTAGAAAAAAGTAAAAGTATTTAAAACTACATATATATTCTATTTAATTATACTTGTAAATTATATTAATTATTAATTAAATTATTTTTAGAATGTTCAATTGATACTAATAATAGTATTTATAATGGTAAGTGCTTTATTGAGCTTATTTAAAATTAAATAAATTTTTTATCTATTTTATTAATTTTTAGATTATTAGTAAATATCCAATTTTGAATAAAATATAGTTTTTAAAAATACATATAAATATTAATTATCTATATTTATAGTATTACTTTATTTTATTTTCAATATCAATTTGTTTATTTACGCATATGGGAAACTTTAGATATTTTAATTATTTATTTTGTGAAGTTTTTAGTTTCGAAAAGTTTTGATAAAATCAAAATATTTATCAATAAAAAAAAATTATTCTTATAAGAAACAAGCATTTTTTTAATACTTTAAAAATATACAGTTAACTTATTTGATAATAACTAATAGGTCTAAGAGAAAATTTATTATTAAAAATCACTATCCAAGTTTATAAATATTTACCACACTCAATTTACAGTATTTTATTCACATTAATTTAGTGAGTAAGTGTAAAGAATATTTATTAATTAATATATTTAAAATAAGGATTGGAAACGGCTAGTCGACTAAAATTTTTAGTCGTTGACTGACAAAATATTGCGTAACTGATTAGCTGATTGGTCAAATATCACTAATCACAAAAATCCACAAAATTGCCACTAAAAATAATAACGGTACTCTATTTATTTTCAATGTCCAAAACTATTTTTGAATTCTACAAGTTAATAGGGTTCTAAAAAATTCTTAACCCTCTTAAATTAACCAGGCTCAAAGTTCGAAAACAATAGAAAATTTCAAAAGAATGCTTATTAATCAAAATATTAAAATAATCTATCCAAGTTCAAATATTTTCACAATTCTATTTTATTCGCTTTAATTTTGTAACTGTCAATGCATTTAAATTCGAAAAAATACATTATTATTTTTGATGCCCCTAATTACAAAAATTATTTTAAATTTGTAAAAACCAATTTTATTTTAACAATTATCAATAAATAAATAAATTATAAATAAATACTTGAGAGTAAAATCTGAAATGAATATTTAAGTTTCACTTCCAGATTTTCACTCTCAAGCGCTTAGCCCGGCACGTCCAAATATCCGCACTTCTATATATAAAATTTCATTCCAAATAAATTATTTTGGGATCCAAATCCATTAACCCATTAAATGGATTCAGAACAAAATACTGAAATCACATATATTTGATCATTATACGAAGTTTTCGTACTATTTGCAAAGTTATCGCTATAATATGTATAATTAAATCCTTAGTTGGCATATATCGATTTATGTTTATACATATAATGATACTTTAAATAAATCCAAAATCTTTAATAGATAGATATGTTAATATTATTTAAAGATTATAACTTTAAATCAAGTTTTCATATAAATTACAATTTTATATAAACTATAAAATTAATTTTTATCTAATTCATTTAATAAATTTTTTGCCTTTTCATGACCATTATTGGCTGCCAATTTTAAATATGATAACCTGAGTTTTTCATTTTTTTGCAGCCTGAGTTTTCCATTTAAGTAGAAGTTTCCTAAGGCATACATTGCATCAACATTCTTATTATCAGTAGCCAACTTTAAATAATGTATAATTTTATGGCAATTTTCTTTCTTTGTTTCTTCATCATCTTTTTTAAGATTTGAAAGTAATAAAGATGCATATCCATACTGCGCGTCATCTGTTTTATACCCGCGAGGGTGGTCATTATCAGCAGCTTCTTTAAAAAGTTCCATAGCCTTTATTTGATCTTCTTTAACAACACCTTTGTACCCATGAGACAAATAATATCCTTTCCAATATTTTGCAAATAGATTTCCAAGATCTGCATTTTCCCTAAAACACTTCCATGCCTGTTTATAATCTTTTTTCTCGTGAAGTTCTAGACCTTTGTCAAGATCCATTATTAAATCAAATGTTGGAGCATTTTTCTCCTCTCCTTCGAAATTTAATTGTCCATTTTTTAACAGCATAGGATCTTCATCTGAAATTGGATATTTCAAAGTTAATTTTTCAAGTTTTTTATTTAGCTTCGTAAGTTCGATTCTTTGATGTGGTATTTGATGCCATGCTATTTATCGATTAAGTAAAAAAGTAAATATAAAAATCATTATCATAAAATTAGAATTCTAAATTAGTTAATTGATCTTACTCATTTCAATAAGTTTAATAAATTCTTCTTGAATTTCCTTATCAATAGGATTATCAAATTTTCCATGCAAAAGTTTTTCTCGTTTACCATTTAAAACATGAACAGAAATTTTTTCAGAATCCCAATCTTTGTAAGGAAATTTTTCATAACAAAGTTCCCAAATCAGCATCCCAAAACTAATTTAAAGATTAATTATTAAAAAGTATATATCAATACCTACCTTTTAAAGTATTATTCGGGGTGCTACACAAGATCACGATGAAGGATAACCCAATCATATGCTAAGAATCGCACACACCATTTAACTCTTAAGTAAACCATACCCTATGTATTTCATACACCGTTCCTGGTATAACACAACAAATGGACGAATATAGAACCGCGGATTGAATGTACTGGTTGACTCACGATCATCCGAATTTTGATACTGTATACATATATTTGATCTACATAGTACATTGGATACCCCAACGATTAGGGTTGTTAATGGAGTGGAGTGGAGTGGGTTGGGTTAAAATTAAATGGAGCAAGCCTCACTCCAACCCAACCC